ATCCCCTGTGGATTAGAAAAACCCAAAGAAAACACCTTATAAATTAATAAAATTAATTATAAATTAATAAAATTAGTTTGTCACAGATATCACTAAGATTTACAACAGTAAGCTTGTAAAATAGAATTATACTTTAAATACTGTTATCGAGAGAGCTTGGTTCTACCCTCTAACGAGCTATGGTGAAAAAATAAAAAGAAAAGAAAAAATATATATAAATATAAATTAAAAAAAAAAAAAAAGAAAAGAGGCCAGGCATGGAGGCTCACGCCTGTCATCCCAGCACTCTGGGAGGCCGAGGCGGGAGGATCGCTCGAGGTCAGGAGTCTGAGGCCAGCCTGAGCAAGAGGGAGACCCCGTCTGTACTAAAAAAAAAAAATAGAAATAAGTTAGTGAAACAACTAAAATTATATACAAAAAGAATTATCCACCCCTGTCATCCCAGCACTGTGGGAGGCCGAGGCGGGAGGATCGCTCGAGGTCAGGAGTTGGAGGCCAGCCTGAGCAAGAGCGAGACCCCGTCTCTACTCAAAATAGAAATAAATAAATTGGCCAACTGCCTCTCTCTCTATATATATAAAATTAGCCGGGCTCAGTGGCTCACTCCTGTCATCCCAGCACTCTGGGAAGAGGCCGAGGCGGGAGGATTGCTCGAGATCAGGAGTTGAGGCCAGCCTGAGCAAGATGGAGACCCCATCTCCGCTGAAAAATAGAAACAAATTAGTGAAACAACTAAAAACATATAGAAAAAAAACGAGCCGGGCGTGGTGGCGCACGCCTGTAGTCCCAACTACTCGGGAGGGAGGCCGAGCCGGGAGGATCGCTCGAGGTCAGGAGTTGGAGGCCAGCCTGAGCAAGAGCGATTCCCCGTGTCTACTCAAAGCACAAAGAAATGAGAATTGGCCGACTAAAAATATATATATATAGAAAAAATAAAATAAGAGGCAATCTATCCATCTCCCGGGCTTTGTGCGTGTTTATGAGTTGCATGCCTGTCGTCACGGCAACCTCAGAGTGACCTGTCACCTCCTGTCGGTTGTCATATTCTGTATTCCGTGCAGGTGGACTTTCCCGACGAAGAGCCCGAGCGACTAAGCAACAAGCTGTTCCGGTACGACCCGGGCGGGGACCGATGGCAGGAGCTGGCCCCCACGAGGTTCTCCAAGTACCGCTTCGGTTGGGCCGTGGCCAACGGCGACATCTACGTTTTGGGTGAGAATCAGCACTTTGCTCCCGGTGAGGCCTCCCGCCTTGACAATTTGTCTCAGCACCTTGCCTTGGGGAAGACAAAAAAGAAAAAAAAAAAAAAAGAAAAAGAAACAGGTCCCCTTCCCTCTGGTGTCCCACTTGGAGTGTTGTAACCTGACGAGCCCCAAAATTATCTTTTATTTTTGTTGTTGTTGTTTTGTTTTGTTTTGTTTTCTGCATAGTGCACGGTCCGGCACGGATCACAGGAAGATCCGTTGGGTAGTTATTGAGAGCAAAGTTATCTTTTCCCATTAAAAACATAAAAAGAAAAAACATAAAAACATATTCTAGTTATATCGGGGTAAAAGAAAGAAAAAAAAAGAAAGGAAAGAAAGAAAAAATTAATGAGTAATAAAAAAGGAAATGAAAACGTAAAAATAAAATGAGTATATGAAACAGCAGCAGATGATTTGGTAATCCGTGTGTCTTAAAAACCGAATCCAGGCCATTCTTACAAAGGTCATAATTATGGTGCAAAGAAAAAAATAAAAAACATAAAAATAAAATAAGTATATAAAACAATGGCAAATAATTTAGTAATTCCATATATCTTAAAAAGTGAATCCAGACCATTCTTACAAAGGTCGTAATTATGGTGTGAAAAACATAAAAATAAAAAGACTATGTAAAACAACAGCAGATAATTTGGTGATCCGTGTATCTTAAAAACTGAATCCAGGCCATTCTTACAAAGGTCATAATTATGGTGCAAATAAAAACCAAAAATAAAATAAGCATATAAAACAGCAGCAGATAATTTGGTAATCCGTGTATTTTAAAAACTGAATCCAGATCATTCTTACAAAGGTCATCATTATGGTGTTAAAAAAAATAAATAAATAAAAATAAAATAAGTGTATAAAACAATGGCAAATAATTTAGTAATTCCATAAATCTTAAAAAGTGAATCCAGACCATTCTTTCAAAGGTCGTACTTATGGTGTAAAAAAAAAAAACATAAAAATAAAATAAGTATATAAAACAATAGCAGATAATTTGGTAATCCGTGTATCTCAAAAACTGAATCTAGGCCATTCTTACATAGGTCATAATTTATTTATTTATTTATTTTTCTAAGACAGAGTCTGGCTCTGTCGCCCAGGCTGGAGTGAGTGCCGTGGCGTCAGCCTCGCTCACAGCAGCCTCCGACTCCTGGGCTCAAGCGAGCCTCCTGCCTCAGCCTCCCTCCCGAGTAGCTGGGACTACAGGCATGCGCCACCACGCCCGGCTCGTTTTTTCTATATATTTTTAGTTGGCCAATTAATTTCTTTCTATTTATAATAGAGACGGGGTCTCGCTCTTGCTCAGGCTGGTCTTGAACTCCTGGCCTCCAGCGATCCTCCTGCCTCGGCCTCCCTCCCGAGTAGCTGGGACTACAGGCATGGGCCACCACGCCCGGCTCATTTTTTCTATGTATTTTTAGTTGGCCAATTAATTTCTTTTTATTTATAATAGAGACGGGGTCTCGCTCTTGCTCGGGCTGGCCTCCAACTCCCGACCTCGAGCACGATCCTCCCGCCTCGGCCTCCCAGAGTGCTGGGATGACAGGCGTGAGCCACCACCGCACCCGGCCGATTCAGTGTGTTTTTTTCAGTTCAATGCCAACGATTCGTTATTGTTAAACCATAAGACCAACACTCAGTATCTTTTTTTTAAATTTTTTTATATAAAAAAAATTATTTTATTTAACTTTAAATTTATTGTTTAATTTTTTTATTCTTATTTTTTTTTCACAAGAAGCCCTTTATTCTTAACAAACACTCAATATCTGAAATGCAAAAAAAAAAAAAAAAATCTGAATTCATTGCGTCCTGATTGGGGCAGGAATGATTTCGTGGCCAGAGACATTGTCATAGAGCAAAGCAAACTGCTGATCCTGCTACGTAGGATCTTGGGCAAGAGGTTAGTCTGGGATTCGTGTGGCCTCCAAAACTGGGAGTGAATGTCACCTTAGCAGTGTGGCTTGTGTCCCTTCCCGAGACCAGATCTTCAGGTCAGATTGTCACCAAGGCCTGGCTGGCCTCCAGATTTGAGGCCGGGCCTGACAGCTGCATTCCAGACCCAGGTAGGCCCTCCTGGAGCCGGCTGGCTCTGGCGGATTAATCAGGCCCAACACGAGTTCTCCCGTTGACCTATTTATGGCCAGGAAACAGGGAGTCTTTTTGCTCTGGGAGGCCGAGGCGGGAGGATCACGCTCGAGGCCAGGAGTTGGAGGCCAGCCCGAGCAAGAGCGAGACCCCGTCTCTACTGTAAATAGAAAGAAATGAATTGGCCAAATAAAAATACACGCAGAAAAAATGAGCTGGGTATAGTGGCACATGCCTGTTTATAGTTCCAGCTACTCGGGAGGGAGGCCGAGGCAGGAGGATCGCTCGAGGTCAGGAGTTGGAGGCCAGCCCGAGCAAGAGCAAGACCCCGTCTCTACTAAAATAGAAAAAAATTGATCGGCCAACTAATATATACATAGAAAAAATGAGCTGGGTGTGGTGGCGCACACATGTTTATAGTCCCAGCTACTCGGGAGGGAGGCTGAGGCAGGAGGATCGCTCGAGGTCAGGAGTTGGAGGCCAGCCCGAGCAAGAGCGAGACCCCCGTCTCTATTATAAATAGAGCAAGACCCCATCTCTACTAAAATAGAAAAAAATTGATCGGCCAACTAATATATATATAGAAAAAATGAGCCGGGCGTGGAGGCGCATGCCTGGAGTCCCAGCTACTCGGGAGGGAGGCCGAGGCAGGAGGATCGCTTGAGGTCAGGAGTTCAAGGCCAACCTTTACTTTCTTTACATCAGTAGGATATGTTAGCCTCAATTTCCCCACGAAAATTAGTCCCAGAAAATTAGCGATAATATATTGTGGATTAAGGAAAATGTGGAGTATATATTTGGATTAAGGAAATTAGGTGGTATATAGTTTTGGATTAAGGAAATGTAGGGAGTATATATTTGGATTAAGGAAAAGTTAGGGTACATATTTGGGGAATGATATATCCCATATATATCATTTCATATATATATAGGAATTAGGATATATATTTTGGATTAAGGAAAATTAGGGTATATATTTTGGATTAAGGAAAATTAGGGTATATATTGGAATATAGTATCCATAGATATCCAATTCCATATGAATATATGGAAAATTAGGATATATATATTTTGGATTAAGGAGGAAATGCTAGTATATATGAATATATATCCGTATATATCCATATTCCATATATATATGGGAAAATTAGGATATATATTTTGGAGTTAAGGAAAATTAGGATTATATCTTTGGGATAATATCCAAGTATATATCCATTTCCGAGTATATATATGGAAAATTAGGAGGTATTATATTTTGGATTAAGGAATTAGGGGTATATATTTTGGATTTGGAAAGTTAGGGTACTATAGTTTGGATATATATCCATGATATATCCATATTCCGGGGTATATATATGGAAAATTAGGATATATTTTTGGATTAAGGAAAATTAGGGTATGATATTTTGGCATTAAGGGAAAATTAGGGTATAGTATTTGGAATATATATCCTATATATCATATTCCATAGTATATAGATGGAAAATTAGGTATATCTTTTGGATTAAGGAAATTAGGATATAGTATTTTGGATTAAGGAAAATTAGGGTATATATTTTGGATTAAGGAAAATTAGGGTATATATTTTGGATTAAGGAAAATTAGGGTATATATTTTGGATTAAGGAAAATTTAGGGTAATATTTGGATTAAGGAAGAATTAGGGGTATATATTTTGGAATTAAGGAAAATATGAGGGGTATAGTATTTTGGGAATATATGTCCAT